TACTCGTATCATCCAACACCCTGCGACCGCGCCCTCACTCATTTGTCCCCTCCTCATACACCTTTCTTTCTTCTTTTCACCTTTACCACCCACTTTTTCATTTTCATTTTCATCATTTTTCCACCAATTCCAACATTTTTCACCATTTTTCATCCTTTTTTTCATCCCCCCGATAGCATCTTATTAATACCCCCTTATTAATACGTTGTCCCTCAGTTCTCCATTAGGAGGTCAATAGGAAAATGGGAAGAGAGCGAGAGACGAGATTTATCGAGGAATTGTCGACACCACGGGGAAGGGCGAAGATGAGAGGGCATAGGGTAGGGAGACATTTACTGATAGGGGAAGTTTGCAACATCGACTGGGCAGTGGCGCCCTCCGATAACATTACGAAAATATTCTCCTTCGGAAGAGGGAGGAGAGTGACTCCGGTGCAGACTCTCCGGGTGTGTGGACCTCCATCGAGCACTCCATCCTCACTTTCATTCCTTTTTTCTATTCTCCGCTAAAATATTCTCCATGAATTTTTCAAATCACTCACCTATCAATCTCCTCGCATAAATATTATAATTTATCTGTACGATTTCTTGCGCGAAAATAACAACGGAGAATTGGAGCATTCCAATAATATCTATATATTTATGTATTTAGATGACTCTATTCTACTCTTCGTGGATTACAGTTAGTCGCCATTGAGTTTACGACGCGACCCGTTAGTACCTGGTGGAAGGCCTGCCAAGGGGAGAGACTCTGTAATTTTCGGAAAACTTCTTTCACAATTCTGAGAAGCTGTATTTCCGTTCACCGCGATTAAAACCAGACCGCTATGCAATCTTGATCCATTCATACCTTGGCACAAGCGATTCAACCAACTTCATTTTTGATTTATCTTCTCTTCTATTTCTGGAGTGGTTGGACTCGGGCTCGGGCTGGAGAATTTCGTGAGAATAACTCCTCTCCGAAATGTAATTGCTTCATCAAGGAAGGGCTATGGCTAGGGCTCTTCCTATAATAACGACTCGACCTAGAATAGACGAAAATTCAAGGGATAATATTGCAATGGAGAAGTGGGAGTTGCCGGTTTCTAATCCTCAAGGGACCACAAGGTTTTTCGACAAATGAGAAAGCCGGAGAGAGGGCCCGAGTTAAAAAAGTCCCGGGCGGTCCGCTCCACCTCCACTCCATCGGCTCTCCTCCTTCCTCTCTTCAATGCCTCATATACTCGTCAATTTATGCCCCAAAATGTATTAAATACCCGAATATCCACCGAACAATGTGTGCGATCCGGCGAATAACATTTCTCTCCTATCTATATATGGGGGTTTAAATTTTCGACCGGTTCCGATGTACATATACATTGTTAATGTCTGGTGTATTTTGTCCGACCTATTCTGAGAATTTTCATTTCGCATCGTTGTGCAGAAACATTTCAGCCAGAACCATGACGTATTCGGATATTTGTGGGAATTCGGTGGAATTATACATCAGCGTCATGGGGATAAATGTCGAGAGGAAGATGTTGGCGAGACCCCGTCTCAATTCTACATCTGACAGTGCGGCATTCATTGTTCTCCTCTTCTCTCCACTCTTTCCTACCGTTTATTCATCAAAACTTTCAAAACTACTGCCAACTTTCTCAACAGGGTTAATCCCCCATTCTCCGCTAAAAAATTCGGTGAAAAAAAAAAATGATCCAGTCGAGAAAAACTAGTCTCCGTTTTCCTTAACCCTTCAATTATTCCAAATATTACGATAAAATCTATAATCTGAGTCCCACATTTGCCGTAATTTACGACGCATGATTGGGGCCTGCAAATTAATGCTTGAATGCATAAACAGACGGCCATATTTCTACCACCGTTCATGCATAATATTATTCATATGCATTTATCCAGACATTTTGTTACAAAAGTATTATTAATTACTCGATTTCCATAATATATGCTGACTTTTTGATACAACGGCCATTTTACGCCGCCGATGAATACAAAATGATCACTCGCCTGTCGGTCAACCAGTTTAATTCCACCTGAGGACTTAATGTGTCATACTCATTCTCTCTTACTTTTCTATTTGAGGTAATTTGAAAAAAAAAAAAAAAAAATCAACGTACGCAGCTGTCACTGCGCCGACTCACGGACGCGGGGGATTGGCCGTCGACGGCTCAATTCCAGTAAACGCGATTCAACCTCTCTGGACTGGGAGAATTCCCTCCTTTCGCCCTCCACCACATCCCCATCGTCTGCTTCCTAATGGAATTGCCAGATAGCTGACTATTTAAATGCCATCGGCTCTGGAAATACCTCGGAAGTGTTGCGCCCTCGGAATGTATTCACTGGGAAAAAAAAATTACGACAATCTCAGAATTGAGTCTTCCAAGAAATTAATTCAATTAATTCAAATGCAACGAACATTTTTTTTCGACGAGATATTTCAAGTGTTTAAGCTATCCGCTCGACGATTCATATTCCCTGGAATATTTTTTATTATTGAGAAAAATAATTTTCACTGGTGAATAAAAAGAAAAATTCCAAAGAAGTTCTCGGCAGAGACCGAATAAAAGTAAACGGTCCGTTCTCACTGCCCCGTGGGTAATCCATCCGCCCACCCTTGAACGAACCAGAGAGAGGGTACATATACGCTCCACTACGTTTCACTCTCATCCGCAACGTTTACTCGGAATTTGCCCGCCCAAAATCAACTAACCCCCTCCGAAAGGGTGGCCGAGGATGGCCCAAGGGGGATAAAACTGCGCTATTTCACCGTTGACTCGTCCCAGACGAAATTCAATCTGCAGGAGAAAATGACGAACTCGGGCTTTCAGAGGGATTTCTAGCGAGAATGTTTACCACTTTTGGGGGTGCATGGGGTGTTGAACATGTTGAGTGAGCAATACACTCTCATAGTTAGTGTTGAGGGGGAATGGGGAGGGGAGGGAACAGGGCGGTGGGATGGGCTCCAGGGTAATGGCATAAGTGGGATATCAAAGATTAGAAACAACATTTTCGGGAAACGAGTTTACTCGTGTTATCGGAGAAAGAGGGAACCGGAATATTTTTTTACTCGATGCCTGAATATTCGATTTTTTTTTTTATCGTCAATTTATTCTCAAGGAATTGATATGGAATTTTTTTTTTCCCGCCATTTTTTACTGGATTCCGAGGTGTTTTGGATTCTCGTCTCGATTTTAAAAGAAGTGGATGGTGTGAACGAGTGGTTTTGTCAAAAAAAAATTCAATGGGGAACTTTAAGAATTTTTTTACGCCACGCGGAGATAAATTTTTAGAAAAATTCTACTCATCCACCATTTTTCTGTTGATCCGTCTTGATAAATTCTGTCTGGCGTCCATAATCCATGAGGGTTGCCCGACAAAAGGGGATCTCGCATGAACACACTCTCCATTGGCAGGAATCCGTGCGTTATTAGTCAGGACGGGGTGAAAGGACATTTATGAATATTTCATTCCCGTATTTCTCTGTGTCACGCGCACATCAAATTCAAGATTTATATCGTGGAAATTTCATATGCACCAAATTTGATTTCACTACACGATTTGTCGCCTCCCCTCCCCCTACCCAATTACTTTTTTTTTTAATAAAATGAGATTGTATTCGTAACAGCTCTTGCTCATGTGCTGAATCGTGATGGACTGAAGATCCTGAAGGTCCTAGATGTACCTAGCCCTAAACCGAATTAGAAAGTTCGGCCGACTTTCCGATTTTTTTTCGTCATTTCCTGAGGGATCAGAGAGTTAACATCTACGAAGGGTTGCCGCAACAATATGGCACCCATGGCCCATCGACGAACCGTCCGTCAGGCAGTTACAATTTTTTTTCATAGAATGGAAAGTTAGGATCGACCTAAATCTTCAAATATACGAACCCTGGGTGGTCCTTCTGCAGGCAGCAATTGTATTTGAACTGATTAAAAATTTTTCGTATGCCTCGTTGAATGACAATTATGAAGCGGAATATTTCTCTTTAAATTGGAGTACCTTGGGGGTTCGACTATTACAAACGTGAGGAAGCGGAAGATACAGCGGGACGCTCCACGTTTTTACGATTGTCGTTTCTCCCGAGCTCAAGAGAGCTAGACAATTATCTTCTCGGGCCAACGAGTTGCCTCCAGAGTTCTATTGACACGGAAAGAAAAAAATAATTATACCATTTCACCTTCGCTTTTTGCAATTTTATTTATTCGTCACCCTATCATATGCCGTATTGATTTTTGATTTAAGGAGAATTCAATAAAATTGAGTGGAAGTTTAAAGACGGCTGGGCTCATCTCCAAATATACCACTTGATTGTCAAAGTTGACCCGACGTGATGGCTAGAATACTGTACTTACCCCGATTCGATAATCCTTGGTTTCTCGAGCCAAACTTTTCCGTGTCAAGCTTGAAAGATGAAAATAGTGCGACATGTTCGACTCGAAATATTCTTACCTGCGTCGAAGTGAAATCGCAGTGTCACATCTCGATTAAATGATTTCCTAAATCGAAGTGAAATCGAATGTATAATCCCATAAAATTCCATAAAATCATGCGGAATCATATAAAATCGGTTGAAATCATATGAAATAAATAACAATTCATAACCGCCGCCGTTGCCTCATTCGTAAAAAAAAAATATATTTGATAATTTTTGAAAATTTAATTGTATTCGTTTGGGAAGCGTGAAATCTCTTGAAATTGTGAAATGACGAGAACCTTCCGGTGGCAATCAATGATTTAATGATCTCACTGGAATCATTTTATGAAATGGCATGAATGGTCCCTCGGCAGCAACTTGTTGATCCTGAAAAGGGCCCATAATTACAGCGATATGAGTCTCTTTGCTCAATTTCTCTATTCATTTCTATTTAATATCTTCGTGATAAGATAATATGCCTTTATTTACAAAGATACACGTACATTTATACATACATTATTCGGGACAGCTACATAGGCTGGAGTTTGTGTTATGTCATTTCTTGATTTAATCATATTTCGTGTTTTTTTTTCTTCTTCTTCTTTTAATGGATTAATGGGAGTTGAATGCTTAATTGTCGATGTAGAAAAAAATAATAGTTGGGGTTTGATTCTCCTCTCTGGGTGAAAGATGAGAGCAGAGAGGATCGATTGAAGTGGTGAGGCTATACGAACGTGCATCGACGTCGGACTAATTCCATTATTTACACAAGAAATAACTGATAGTGAGAGAGACAAACGGCAATTATTCTCTGGATTCTACTGTCAACTGAGAATATATCCGACTTGAATTGAGTAATAGGCTATCCACGAGTCGAGTGTTATTTCCTCAAACAGATTTATGAACCTGAAAATATCCGTGAATAATTGAAGCTTCCAGCCACGTGTAATGATTCTTGAGAGCTCGAGCTTCCTCACTTGCTTTCTGTACTTTGGCACTCATTAAACATTTCGTTATTGCACTTCGATACAGGAGTAATATCGTCTCGTTAATTAATAGTCATTATTCCTCACAATTTTTATTTACAAGTAGCATTTACTTATCCTAAAATGTTGAATCGTACGCGTTAGAATTCTAGTTGAGGAAAATATTGGTTTCCATACCATTGATTGCAGAAATGACTCGGTACGATGAAATCTTGAGAAACTCCCTTTCGCGATTCATTTTTTTTTCTTTTCTATCCTCTACTTTAAACTTACTATAGTCCTTTCGTTTTCTAAGAAGTAGTTTAGTTTCAGTTATAGTTACCCAGATTTACTCTCGAATAAATTCGTTATTAGAGGCTTTCGTTGATCGATTAACGGAGAAATATCAATTTTGTGGGAGATCAATTTGGGGAGAGGAAATGATGAGGTTTAGTCTACAGTAGAACAGTTATCTGCGGATCAAGACAATATACACATTTAATAACATGGCTTTTTTTTTTAGTCTCCTTTATGAGTGAAATTTCATTGTTTTGTTTTCTTTATAACTTTTGTTTTCTCTCAGTTTTTCTTTCATTATCATTGATAATATTTGATAATATTAAATTGTAGGCTGAATAGGTACATACAAAAACAACACACAATAAAAACAATAACATAATATTAACGTGACGCTCACAATAATAATTAATAATCATAATAATAATTCTTAATAACCTTAAAATCTTGTTAAACATTGTCCTTGACATAATAATTATCACTAATTACAGTTGTAGATTTTTTTTTTTTTCGTTTAAATCTTAATTCTTTTAATCTGCTGAAAAGCACTGTATATTTAGCGATGACTGGCTCGCGACTGAATCTACCATCTCTTTTATTCACCATCAATCCATTCACTCGGAATTTCTATGTCCATTACTTTGATTTTTATCTAATTTATTTCCTTCATTTTAATTCATTTGCTTTTTTAATAATTTTTTTTTTTTCAGTGCACCTTTGTAAAAGAGTTTCACCGATTTGTCGGGAGTTTTTATTTTCTCTTTGAAGCACAATGCACTCTACACTCGTACATGTACAGAAAAACTTTCGAGCCTCGAATTATTATTCAGTTATCTAACAACTGCTTTGGCAGAATTTAGTCAACATTTTTCATTAATTACATCAATAACCAAAAAAAAAATGTTTTTCACTCGGATGATTGACTAATTAGGTTTGCAATAGAAACGAGAGTTGAACTTAATTATCTTAGATAGAATATAATTGAAAACATACGAAACAATGTGAAAAGAATTTACTAGTCGAGAGATCCATCGAAGCCAACAAAAAACAATAATTTCTCGTTTTAATTTGTTTAGATTGACTTACCCCTAGTAATTGGCTCGTGAAAAGACGCTCGAAATCGTGTGTACCAATAATTCATGGGTCCATCTTCTTAATTTACTTTAAGTACAATATTAAATTCAATGACCCGTTCGCACTCCACCAAATTTTGAAATAAAATCAATCACTTTTGCTTGATTCTTGGACATTTGAAAGTTGAAGTCTCTTCTTAGCCTAATAATCTTTTTACATACATCATCAACGGTCCAACTGGCATCAAACAGATGATGATTAATTTTGGATAGGCCTGAGTACGCATTTACCGGCGGGCAATTAAAAAAAAAAAAAATCAACAAATGAATTTACCTCGAGCGCAATTTAATTTAATCTAAAAAATCAAATCGACGCTCTCGCCGTTATCTAGGGTTATCAGGTTGCTCTCACCGCACTACAGCAATTCTAATACGTGAAAACCACTCGTAAGAATCGAAAGAACAAAAAAAAAAAACAAAATTCCATATCGAAAATGCACATTAGATAAATTGCAATTTGAATTGAGTTGAATTTCACTGATCCACCAGATCGAAGAAATACTAATTTAACATTAATTTAATTATACTCTACTCCGTTCAACTATTTATAATTGGAGTAATACTATCGCGTTACGGGTTGGACGTTTTTGTAGGTAGCACACATGAAAAATCATTAAACATCATTCAAATATCCGAATTTTCAAACAATCATCATTCATCCATCCTCACGACAAAACACTGAGTGTAGAGCATTCGATTAAAATTGTCTATAAATCATTACCCAACTTTTCTCCATCTCCCCAGGATCACGAAGGTGCAATCTTCCAAACTTGAGAATTATAATATATATAAATACATATACATATACCTCCAATATGTACGTGTTGCTCTTTTTTTGAGTTTTCTTGTGCTTTTTTTTTTAAATCTTCTTTTTGTATTTAGCCATTATTATAATGATGTAGTCTTAATAATAAATGTCTCTGGGTGATGTGGTGTATCATCCTCGTGAGGGGTCAGGGGTGAGGGGTCAGTGGTGAGTGGTGAGTGGTAAGTGTGACGTGTGGTCGGAGTGTTGGGAAGAATCAGGCATGATGATTCAGGCAGCGAGACCGTGGCTTGTTTGATGGAGCAACGCAGTGTGCTGTTGAGCACTCATGTGGGCCAACTGATGGCTAGACTGGTGCGAATGATGAGCAGTGCCAATGGTATGAGGAAGTGATGTTGCTAGTTGTTGGGATGTACCGTGAATAGTGTGACTTATACCCTGGCTGGTAGCACTGTGAATTGGAGTGGTTGCATTGTGAGGATGATGGAAGACAACCCCAGAGAAGGCTACGGGTCACTGATGATGCTTGGCTGAGCCATTGGCGTGGTGTGCCTGACCGACTGCCACGTGATGACTCGTACCACCGTGGCCACCAGGATGATGATGACTTCCACCCGTACCACCATGATGATTAGCATTATTTGCACTACTGTTATTATTATTATTGTTAGTCTGTTGTTGGGATTGACGTTGACTATTTTTCTTATTCTTCATTCTTCTATTTTGAAACCATATCTTCACTTGGCGCTCCGTTAGGTTCAAATTGCGCGCCAATTCCCAACGCTTTTGCTTCGATACGTACGCATTGAAGAGAAATTCCTTCTCCAATTCCAGGGTTTGGAATTTTGAATAAGGTTTACGCTTTTTTCGTACTGTTACTTGACCTGTCCATTCTAGGGGATTGCCACTTGTACATCCAACACTCATACTCGCACCACCGAGACCCATTCCAGGCACTCCAACGCCCAGTGGACCTGTTGGAAACAAGGAAGATGGGGAGGAACCCCACATCACTTGACACAATTAATTTTGCCTCGTAATCATTTAAACTATTTACTTGTATTATTATGATTCATGAAGATATGTTAACGACATGCAGATATGTGGGCAAACAAGCCTAATCAACATCTCATTCATTATTACTTATAATCATCATCGGCTGCATAATTTCCCTGCAAAAATTCATTATAAAACAGGTTTCTAATTGTTTCACCGCAAAATATTATCAGCCAATTAGGAGAACATCGAATTTACCAGTAATTAATTGGCAATGCACTTTTTATTAGAATTTTCATCGTTTATCTAACGTTTAAATTGTATCCAAGAGTTTGCACTTTAAACTCCGTTAGTCGTTTAAAAGATTTTTCTCCTCTCTTTTTGTATAATTTTCAAAGGGAAATAGCGCCAGGTATATGCTGGACCGCCTCTGGTGGGCTACATCTGTGTATGTTCATCTGTGTGAACGCCGACAGTATAAATGCGGTACGTCAAGAGGGAGTACGGAGAACACCGTTGCCCGGAAAAAGAGCGCTATGATATAATTGGACCGGTCTCTACTAACCATTCCCACAATTACAGCCTTTCAGCTCAATTCTCGAGGAAAGGTTAGTACACAGCACCATGAGTCTTTCAATCTCTCTCTTCAAATATTAATTCCGCATGGGGGTGACAAACTCACAGCATCCCTCTCCACCCAAAGAGATAATTCCAAGAAAAATTACTGGGCCAGCACCAAAATTTCAATTTGGCATCTTCCGATTGCGCATCGGGTACTCTTCCACTCTCAGCCACTGCCTCACATTCCCGATTTCCAACCCAACGATTTGCATCATCTGTTTGGTGTATCATTTTGAACCGGGGAGTGCTACAATGTCGCCGGTTCACTAATAAAAATATCTCGACGATTTGGAATTGTGGCTTGATCGATAAAGAAGTTTTGCTAGGCCGATGGAGGAATTTGAATTTTTTTTTTGTAAGGCAGAATGGTAATTTTTATCGAAATTTTTCCCCACCCTGAAAATGGATAAATTTTTTAGATAAACCTGATGGAGGAAGCTCATTAATTTGATATGACGACTGAATTGGCATATTGGCTTCCGTCTAGTAAACCATCTGATTTTACTGCTCTCACTTGATTCTTGGGACTCCCCTCTACATTTACTTGCGCAGGGTCTGACGCGCGTTGGGCGATTGCCTAAGCGCCGGGAATTTATTGCCCACTAAAACGTGGAAATATGCAAATTATTTAACAAAGGTCAGGATTCTCATGGACATTTTCGTTTGTGTATGTTGAGAATTATTCAGAACATATGACAGCGGGCGATCACGCGGCTACAGATGCACACACGATTTCAACTGCCGACGAATCAATTAAGCCGAGAATCTTGTCGCATATGTGTCGAATTCATTTTATACAAAATACGGGCGGATTAATTAAGAGACGGCAGTTGAGAATTTTAAAAGAAAATCACCGGGAAAAAGAAGATTCACTGCTAATGAACAAGTTTGTCTTGACTATTAAGACCAACGTTCACTTAAATTATGAGACTTCACGGTTTAAATGAAAAAATTCAACAGCCTAGAGATTTTCTCGGCAATAGTTGGAAGGCATAATCTCACTCTATTCATGTGCTGTCATTCCCCGCACTGCGTGGTATCCTCGCTATCATTACGTTACTACTCATACGCACTGAGAAAACAAATTACTTATTTCTATTCGGATACAAGATTGAGGGGAAGAGTAGAAGTGTCGGAGAGAAGAAACTCACGAGGGGGATTTTCACATACGATAGCAATATTTTTTGGAGGGGAACGCGTTATATATGACAATGCTCTTCCTCGAGGGGTCGTCCGTGATCTTTGGTATAACAATGTTTCATCATCAATAACATTCTACAATGAAGGATGCCCACAGACTGACCATTATCCCGGCAATCGAAATCTTCTCGTATTTTTTCCACCCACACGGCGCATGAATTTTTTAATTATTCATTCATCCCATCGCTTATAAATACGAGAATACAAACCCAATGCTGTAAGAGAGAATTCCCCAGTGATTCCCCTCCGTCCCGACTATCCCCAGCCGATTCCTCCCCCCATTTTTTTTTTCACGAGATGAAAGCGCGCGCCTAGAGACACGAGCCATACCAGTCAAAAGACAGGATAGACACGCAAAGAGATAATGCAGCTGCCATCTATGGGTGTCCGCTAGAACTAAAGTTGCCGTCACTTTATATTTATCTCACGCATTTGAAAACGATAAATGTCTATCGCTATGATTTTCCACAGGGACGGGAAGAAGAGTGGTAATTATAATGAAATGCAGGGGCTTGAGGTTAGCAGCGAGAGAGTTCGCGGAATGGGAGAAAAGTTGTGATGGGAATGACGGGTTTTGACCGTTAACGGAAGAGAACGGAGACGGGAGTTTTACGGGGTCATGGAACGGATCAGCTGATCGGGAGGCGCGCGCCCGACAGTAGAGTTTACGAGTTACGGCCGCCAATAAACCTCGACGCCCGTTTCGTTGTTGTTTGTCCGTGCAATGCTCTATGGCTTGGTTTGTATGGAGTCCCATAACCCTACGGTGAGAGGGGACCACTGGCCTACAGGGGCCTCACCAAAAAAATACATCACTGGGTCAATGACACGGGACTTTCCATTTTTTTTCCCCCCCTCCTTGTAAACGATGAAAATGCAAATGCAAAGCTGGCAAATTAACAGATATGATCCGTCTAGATATAGGCTATTTTTTCCGAGGAGGAGAATAATCTGGCTTGAGTTACGATGAGGGAGATGGTGAAATTTATGAGTTTGGTTGTGGGTGCAGTAGCCACGCGCCTTAGACATCGTACAGTCTCTCTACGCTCCTTGGCAATCGGAGATAAATGAAAATGATGAAAGTTGTGATAAAGGGTGGAGTTGATGCTTACCTGGAGTTGGGTATGGACTGGAAGGGACGGGTTCGGAGGCGTAGTTCCTGAGTCCATTGTATCCATCGTGTGGAAATGTGGATTCAGCGGCGACCATGGCAGCGACTCTGCCCCGATCATCAGCGGCCGAGGGTGTTAAATATGGTACACCAGTCTGAGAGTGCGGATGATGATGGTGTGGCGCTGTATCGATGGGATGATGTCGACTCCCTGAATAAGCATAATTGCACCAACTCTGAGTAAAGTTTTGATGACACGTGGATACAGCGGGATCAGTTCCACCAGTTGGAACGGATGAGGCTGATGAGGTGGTTGTGCCACCAGCACTCGCTGGATTGTATTTGTACTCGGTTGTAGCGCCTCCGCTACCTGAGCCTGGTGCGGAGGCTGGGGTTACCGGTGACCAGAAGCTGAGGCTGCTTCCGGCCTTTCGGTTATCCCTGGTGGAGCCCGTCCCTGAGTCCGCCAGGTTGTAGTAAGTCGGGGGATTGGTGCCCCCGTACGCCTGATGATGATTGAGAGCGTCAGCGGTCGCTGCTGACGAGTAGTGAGCCTCCTGGGGATTGTGCGGACTGTAACTCCAGCCACCCTGTGAGCCAGCGGAGGACGAATGTGAGTGTCTTATTACCCCTGTTGACGTACCACCATTTGGTTCAACACAGCTCACCTCGCCGTACGATGATCCACCGACTGGTGTTGCCGATGGCCTCTTCGCTGGGATGTGGAGGGGACCTGCAGCACTGTTGCTCGCCACTGATGATGCACTTGGTGATGTTGAGCTTGCACTCGCTGTCTGCGCTGGTGCTGATGCCCCGGCTGCTGAACTCGGTGCACCTGGTGAACTCGGTGTCGTTGCCTGCTGGTGAGAACCTGGATTGGAGGTCTGCTGTTGGTGTTGGTGTTGGATTGATACGAGGGAGAGGGTTGGGGGTACTGACGGCGGGCTCTCCTCGTAAGTAGCACCACCGTTCATCATGGTCCACCAGTTCACCCCGGTTGTATGCGGCGTGCCGGCGGCTGCACCCATTGGCGTGACCGAGCCAGGATGGCCCACGCCGGTGCCGCATAGCGGCGCGGCGTGAACATTGTCGTACAGCGTCGCCGTTGAACAAGCCACGTGTTCGGCGATGGTGCAGATGATGGCGGTTTAACGATTGCACAATTTCGAAAAATTTTTGGTTCACGGGTTTTGATTGTACCGCGAGAATTTTTTTTACCAAATGAACGCCCGATTGAATTTCGATGTAGATATATAATATATATTTTATTTCGGCAATAATTTGAAATTTTTCAAATGAATGAATATGTCAGGAGCGATTGATTAACCGATGAAAATAGTTTTTTCTCAATAAAATTTATGAGGCAAATGTTTCGTCATCGCGTCCGCATGTACACAGAGATGAGTGAATTTGAAGGGTAGGGGATGTCCCCGGGTTGTGCCCGTGAACCAATATGATGGTGTTGGATGTATTGGTGTGTGAGGCAATGCGGAATGTATGGGAGTATGTGTGCGCGCACCCGCGCGCGATAGCGCCACGACAGACAGGTAGGGTGGAGAGGGTAAGGAATGGAATGGAGTGGAAGGGAAGGAGGAAAGGCAAGAGGGGGTAGATTGGTTTTGTAGAGAGGGGAGAGACAAGTGAGACCAGATGGAAAGGGAGAGGAGGCAATGATGGGGTGGCCGAAGCCCCAGTGTACAAACGCGTGGGTAATACCGTAAACCGATGGTACGAGGTGGTGACAAAATTTCCACGTGCGATGATTTTTTTTTCCCACAGCGATGAGTTTTTTTTTTTTTTATTCAGGATCAGTTGTAGTCCAGGTGAGCAATCCGATTGATGATTGTGGGTTGGAACAGAAAAGATAAAACAGAGAACACTTTAGCATGGAGTCTCAGCACTTTGATTAATTTAATATTATTGTTCAGGACAAATCCACTTGGCAATCTCAAAGAGTTTTCTACTTTTGTAACACTTTTATTAAACATTAATAACGATGGAGTCGGTTGGATTGTTTCCAAGCAATAGGTGACATGTATTTCGAGCGAGTTACTCGAAGTAGATTCAACTAGTCACTGACAAGACAGCGCGATAGACGTCTCACACGCGGGACGTAAGGAGATGCGCGATACTGCGCCTCCTTCTCCTCTGACAGCACTGTCCAGAGCAGCATCACACACTCACTTTAAATGTAATCCCCTGGTGTCACCTCTCCAGTCAGTTATTCCAAAAACACCACTGACTTAACCCAATCGAGAGTACAACACCGAGAGTAAATAAAAAAAAAAAAACACCTCTCAATCAATCCCTCACCAATAGCCAGAAAAAAAGCACATTAAAATTCTAGACTGATGATAAAGTGTCAAATCCCATTCAACCATTCACCAAATCTCTCACTAGTAGTCTGCTCCCTTTTTTTCCTTTTCCCTCTGTCTCTGTCTGTCTCTCTTCGAAAACTTTTATTGCCCTGTCCCGTCAGTCAGGTAAGAATTCACAGGGAGCAGGGTTTTCGGGATACCCTTTCCCTGCTTCTCTCTTTTTTTTTTTTTTGCCCCGCTTTTTTTTTCTCACGTCACGGGAAAAACCCGATTATTGAAAATTCGTCAGTGATTTAGTCTCCGGGTTGCACACGCGGACTGATTATTTACACACATGGAATATGAACAACCCCCTTTGTTTTCAGGTGGCCGCGCTGTGCCGTACTGAGCGACAACTGAGCTCTGGGTGCCGCGCCAAGTCGACGAGAGCATAGCCCGAGCCTGCTGAGAGACAACACGAGCGCAATCTCTCGGTAACACAACCAACTCCTCCAACTGTCCCTGCTACCCCCACCCCCCTCCATCCCTTCTCCCCCCCTCTTCCTATGAGTTTTTTTCACCTCCCCACCCCTCTGTACTCGCTGTGCTTTATCCAGCATAGCAATGTACATCTCTCTCTTGAGTTTGAGACGCGCGTCCAAATACCGACAGCTGCCTCTCTCTCTCTCTCTCTCTCTCTCTCTCCCTGAAAACCAGAGCATCAGCCGGCCAATAGACTTCTCTCACTCACTCTTCAACTTCAGGTACTAGTGGTTTCTCTATCTGCTTGCCTCTACCCCTTACTTCATCTCCACTTCATACATTGAGGAGAATGTACCTATGTGGGCTTTTACGTTGACTTGTGTTGGAGCCACTTCTCCCGCGCTATCTCCGGGGCTTTCTGAAATTCAACGTGAGTTATCTGCGCGACCCGCGTACCCCAAATTAACTCCACGACAATTTACATATATTTTCAGCATCCCGTCATACTTTGTATTGCCATGAATTTTTCTATTTAAACCTTTTATTATGCTTTTCAAGTTGTTTTAACAGAAAATACCATTGGATTTGAATTTGAATGTACAGATTTTTTATTTTTTCATGGACAATTGGAGCTTCTTGGGTGGAAAACCGGCATTATGAATTGTGAAAGTCCTCGTGGTCTCTCGTACCTCGTGGCCGGTTGAATAGTTCTGAGTGTATATACACAACAGATACGTCACGGGTGTATTGTGCAGTCTAAATCTCGGTACTTTTATGGGCAGTAAAGTAAAACGGTCTGACAACTACGGGGGCAGTCGCGCGCACACGCCTCTGTTTTGATAAACCGCGCGTCACTCATTGTTTATAAATTGATGAGTATTAATCTTGGGAGAGGAGAATGGAGAAGTGGATTAATGGAGATTTTGGTGGATTGGTGGGGGAGGGATAATTTAGGGAGATTTGCGTGTGTCAATTGGACTTATGTGACGGGAGGTGATGTAGCTACACGCACGCTTCGGGGAGTGGATGCCTCGTGCGATCATGAATGGATTTTATAGCCATCCCCGGGTGCTCCTATACCCCTAGAGCTGAAGGTGTATTCAACGTTGTCGAGTTTACTAGCTGTTTGGTTTACTGTGATACGAGTACTTCCAACTACTCCACTATCTACCAATGTACACCAATGTCATTCGATCTATTTACAAAAGGATTTGAACTTTGAGCTTGCCATGTGGATTGTTATTTTTTTTTATCCTTTTTTTTTACTTCTTTATCTCACTTCGAGATTATTTTTACGGAACGAAACTCACCTTGTATACCAGCCAGTGTAGCTGGTGGATACACTGCCCCGAGCCTGGAAAAATAATGAAATTTCATGCTTGTATGAAATCAGGATTGCCCTGTTAGTAATTCATAGCTTCTCGTCATTTTTTTTTAAATAGGCGTCAATCTTATTTATTTATTTATTTATTTTTTTTTCACTTTTCAATACCTTCTGCACAGCTCGAACGGGTGAATGGTTTTCTCCACGCCGAACACTTTGAGGCCTTTTCCTGGCAGTTTCGCGAGGGAAAAATGCAGCCTGAAAATGAAAAAATCAAAAAATCAGGCTATATCGATTGAAATTAATAAATCGTGTGTTGCTGGATGAAATTGTTACGTTGAGATTTTTTCACATTTAGTAATCCATTTCACAACAGGTATAAAGTTAGGTGGCGTGTATAGTATTTAATGGTGCCTCTAACTTTCATCGCAGTGGGAGGGGGAGGGGGAGGGGGGCGGAGTTTGTATGAAGTGCATCTTGTGATTTTTCTCTTTCATCTCTGGCAATTTACGATCCATAAATGCTTTGAATGAAAATAGTTGAAGGCAAAAATGAAATGAACCGATTCATGGAAAATTGCGGGAGCTTTTCAACAATTGAATTGGGATTGGGCCACGAGAGCTGAAATGGTGGGATATCCGAGAAAAGCGAGCGGGTGGGATGGGCTTTGGGGGTTATATTCTGGTACTCTCGTCTATTTTCTCCTCGGGAGCAAGCGGAAGGGAAAAATCTCTGGGGGGTTGGATTTACGGTTGTGCTACTTGAGACTGTTCTGGGTGTCTTAGCGCCCGGGGCCTTGACTGTGAAAAATCAAGGCGGAGGGAAAAAAGCTAGAACGATTTTTTTTTCCTTCAGAGCCAACACGTTTTAACCGAGTGCTAGCTCCAGTGCTTCTGTAACGAGACTCTGAGAAAGTGCAGGAAATGGAGGAAAATATAAATCACACGACGAAATTCTTAAAAACCTGATGGAAAATTATATTCTCTGTGGATTTATATGTCCTATGGTAATTATGAATCAATAGTTAACACCTACTGTTTAATGGACGTTGGGGTTTAAAGAAAAATGAAGATTTTCTCTGGACATGAACAAGAATCTGACGAGCGGTATGGAACAAGTGAGAGGGAGTCAGGCGTTGACCGGCGGGTGCCATCGTTCAAGTGCCAATGGGAAATGGCTCGACGGTGCAAATTTATTGGCAATAAAATCGGCCGAGTATTTTACGGCTCGTATATGTATGTTTGTAAGCGTAATCGGCTTCCGTCAGTGATTGAAGGATATTCGATACTTGTCATTAACGTGAAAACGAGAGATGAGGATGAATATTGGGTTTTGGGGTGACACTCAAATTATTAATTAATATTTCAATTGACAATACGACTTTTGGGTGTTGTTTGATATCGTGCGATGATTCATCGGCGAAGATCATGAGCTGTGTCGTCCACTCGAGGAGAAGAAATTAATTGAGAGATGGGGTAAACCCGTCAAAGGGAGAAAACTCGTACTATTACAAGCAAAGAGCATCTCCCCAGGGTTTACTGTTCACCGTTCTCCGGGCAATAACATCATACATACAAACAAAGGGTATATTTTCCTCATACCCTTGGTCATATCGCACAATCCTCATGCCTCCCTTTCGGCCACCGATACCCCTGGCCCTTTGGCAACTTAATGTGTATACATATCTGTGCATTCCCCATTGTTCACACCCATACATCAACCGACAATGTCGACATTTTCCTCATCTTCGTCTTGCTCGCAATATTATCACAAGTTTACACAGCTGAAATTTATTCGACTCCGACACGCCCTCTAATTTCATCAAATGTATCGACGTAAGTCCAAGAAAAGGCACGTGACATCTATTCAGAAAAAATAACAATGAGGGAGGCTGCGGCCTCGCCACACAAAATGGAATTCTTCAAATGTTTGAATGAATTTGGTCTCGGTGGAAGCGTGGAATACGAGCTTGAAGTTATCCTCCCATTTTAATTTCTTCTGGGTTGAGAAAGTGTCTGATTAAAACCACAACTCACCCCTTCCTCCGCGAATGCAAATCAACTCTGGACAGGGATGAAAAGTCTCGGCTTTTTTATTCAATTTTTTTTTTTATAATATATTATTATAACTCCTGAGAATGATGATCAAAAAAATTGGACTCTTTGGATTTGTACCTACAAAAATCTCAAGATCTGGCGGCGGTGAAAAAAATGGTAAGTAAAATAAAAAGGTAGCTCGTGGTAATGTTGGCTGTTGGGGATCCTATTGATGAAAAGAAAGGGTTGAAATGGAGAGAAATGGAGAGAAATGGAGAAAGGGGAGGGAGAGTAATAGGGAGCCACCATAACTGAGAGATGTGACGCGTGGCGTTTTCACCGGGGCGTCCCTACACCCCTTGTATCTCCATCTCTTTTTCACCAGGGGTTTGGGTTTAGTTGTGCAGTGTCTCGGTCACACGTGCCTACGGTGGCTGCGCGCTTTCTCTACACCGTCCTGACCAATCCCAGTTCAACATTCCACTCGGCAAAGCCCCCTAAAACTGTGTGTGTTTATCTGTGTCTAGAAAACTATCCAATATGGCTGGGAGTATCTAGCTCCATCGAGACATTCACGGAGCTTATTCATTTCAAGTTTCCACCTTCAACGAGAAATCCACTCTCATCAAATTTCATTGGAAAAAAAAATGTCTTCCTCCTTTTATCATGAATATTATTTTAATTGCCGGAATTCGGCATCATGAATTTTATGTTAATTACAGAATTCTTGAGTTTATCTCGGGAGAAGCAAGTGCAGTCAATTATTTGCAAATTATTTTCAGCGTGTCCAATTGAATTAAAATGATGATGTGTTGGTTTTCGGGGGAAATAAAAGGAAAGGAAAAGCCTCGGGATTTTTACGATAAAAAATTCCATCTGTTGGGGTTGGATGAGATACAATTTCATTTCGTTGGCTCGGGGGATTTTTTCTTTCCTCCACAAATATCATCTCGGAAAATCCAGCACTTTGTATTCGGGAGTGTCTATAGAAGGTTTGATTGGCGGCCAGCTGGGATAAGACACCGCAGAGAAAAGGTATAAAGCGAGTGGAATCCTCGCTGGACGACAGTTGGCCAGAATTGTTTTTTGCCAGAGGAATTGTTATAAAAGAAAAGGGAACGAGTGTCTTGGAGGAGCGAGTTGGCTGTGAAAGCTTATGTGTGTATTGTTCCGTGTCTCCGGGTCCTCTCTTGCATCCGTGCCAAAAAGCATAGAAGAAAACGTGTTTTCCGGGGGATTGGAGCGTTGGGGTAGAGAGAAATCGGTTGTCATGGGGACCGACGTCATCCTGTCTTTCGTTTTCTTTTCATTTTCCTTCCGCCTTCATTTTTCCACCCCAAAATACCCCGCCTCAATGAGACTGTCGGCAATTTAACGGAACGTCAGAGATTTTTTTTTTTTTTTTCGAGTAAGTCATGTGTTCACTGGATAAACATTTAAACGATGATTGACTTTTATGAGTCTTATCGCACATAAATTATTCACTCGAATTAATTAGGGGAAACGAATGAATGCAGTCGGGAGATAGGATTCGGAATTTATGGGAGAGATAATA